TGTAATATTTAAAGCCACTCCTAATAAAGCTCTTCTTTCCATATCTATATATAGTATAAAACAAAGTAGCTTGCCGTTGTCTGCACACTGAGATCGTTTAACGAATGATATCACATACATTGTTCCAGTCCGAAATAAAGTACATCTTATCACTTCGTATTCAGACGCTCATTGGATTCATGTCAAAGAGCAGAAGAGATTCATATGGATCTTGGCATATTTCTGCAAAAGTTTATCGCTTATTAAAAAATAATGTTGATGTGATAAAATAACTAAATAATATAAATAGTAGGAAAGCTGCTAGATATATTTAGAAAACTGGAAGCATTCAAATTATTCAATGGATTGTATCAATAGAATGAGTTTTCATAATGCCTCAAATATTTCTGTGAAAAATGTCTAGCGACTCTTAGACCATCCAGCCGTTGATCTCGGTTGTATTTTATTTATAATCAACACTCAACAATAGATTTTGGGTCCGCGTAATGAGTTATGGCCTGTTCCGTAAATTCCATCCATAGGGCAGGCCTGTGCCTGTTAACATAATGATATAAATAGACCGATGAAGACGATCTTTCAAGGGTTACTTCATATCCACCAACCGGTTCAGTCTACCAGACGATTTTTTACTACGTCCTGCGAAAACGACCAGCGCGATGTCAGTCGACCTAAATGGAATACAAAAGGGCCTGCGATAAAACTTATAAAGCTGCCTTAAGGTTCAATGACTGCAATTAACGTTCTCCATTCTTGAACGATATACGACAAAATATCGATTTTAATAAATAGATCTAACAATCATTTTTAATATTTGTAACATAAATAATGTGATTTTGAAGTGTCATTTTTCTAATTATACCTACTAGTAGAAAGATCAAACATTGATTTAAATCTTCATCCGTGTAATAGGAAATAAAAATTACTTTATATTAAATTTACAGCGCATAAATAATAGGTATAATAGAAAAAAATAGGTATAAGTTTTGAAGCTGTTTTTATATTTTTATATCATACACTTTTCAGAAGCTATACGTAATAGACTGATTAGTTCGAAGATATTGGTCGTCTTAAAATAATGAGAAGCATAGCTATAGTAATACGAGTAGGTCTTAGACACAGTTGTAATATTATAATGAATGTCTTAAAATTTTGAATATAAGTTATTTTTTATTGAAATTTGTTTGAAAATAGAAACTAAAAGTGTATATTACAGGCTAGATTTATACAAATGACCTTTCGTAAACAGATGTTTTCCATTAGAGCTACTAGATTTTATTTTTCTTTCAATAATTATAAGACAGCATTGTAAATTCAAATACATTAAAATAATAATCAAGGTGGACTACATTTTTTTAAATATTTATAACTAATAAGCATTTACTTTAGTATTTCTATAAAATATTGGTTGTGGTTGAAAGCAAACATCAGTCTCGACTCATAAAAGCGTATGCAGTATTCTAGAATTTTCTAGTCAAACTAACAAGGAAAAGGTTTTTATTATTATAAAAAAAATGGTCCATAATTACAATTTTATGAAACAATTCAAATACGTTATATTTATATTTCACTCTAATTTTGTATTTAAATGCATCATAAACGGTAGTTATATGAAATATATTTAGTTGTAGTCAATTAAGTTAATTATTATAATTTTTTTTTGCTAACAGATGAATCAGACAGAAATATATATATAATAATTTTAACCATTTGTTATCAATAAGTACAAAATACTCGAATTAAATATAAAATATATATACGAGTCCAAGTGCGTGGTGCAGTGGGAACGCGCACCGCACAGTGTCGATGCACCGCCCCCGCACGCCACCTGCTGGCCTTGCACTAGCTTTATTAGTTGGCCGCGTCCGATTATTTCCTTATCAAAATTCATTTAATAATATATTAGAGTATTATTATTATATAGTTGGACTCGCGCTCGTAGCGTTCCGCATCGGAAACAAGCAAAATTGTTGAAAATAAAAAACATAATTGTTGTATGGGAGCCCCATTAAATATTTATTTTATTCTTGAAAATTTCAACTAACTTTCACTGTTCATGAGATATAGCCTGTTGTTAAAGACAGACGGTGAAGTCATAAGTAATAGAGTTCCACTTTTACTCTTTGGGTACGGTACTCTAATAACCTGTGCCATTCATAGGGCAGGCGTAATATCAAAAGATTGTCCATTTTAATCAATTTATAGCGAGTACCTACAGCTAGTCAGAAATAATCGGTGTTAATATTACACACCTGTGTACACTTTTCAGCACATAAGTAACAAGAACTCAATGGCGCAGTGATCATACCTTCGGTCTGCGATGCGGAAATCAATCTACTTCGCACAGGCCTATAGGATGCGTGAGATCTCCTCCGTGTGGAAGGGTAAGCCATTGGTCCAGGCTACATTTGTAGTCATTAAAAACCACCAATTCGTGGGCTATTCACCTATTAATTCCACCAATGGGCTATTCTTTTTTGATTCGATTCCATCCACAAGGAAAGCGTGTGCTTTAATAGTGGGGATATTAATATTTAAATAAATAAATACACATACACTTGACCTATACTTAACAGCAACTAGACTCTAGTTTAACATCTCGTTAAAACCATTCTAAACATGTTGATGAAAGACTGTTTGAAAATGACCAACGACGAGACATTGCTTGTTTCGAAGCAATATCATTTTTGTAATACCTTATTTCGTAAGAGTTAAGGTGCATTATTAGATATTTACGGTAACTTTTTAGCGTTTGTCATTAGCGACTTATCTATAATGTGGGTCGTCATAATGCGCTGACAAGGTTTTATCTGAGTCCCAGAACTTATGTTGTCACAACAAATTCTTAGTTAGTAGTCTACGTTAAATGACAATTTGAAATATCATCTCATTTAATTATAAAAGTAATTTATTGATAATAATGATTGATGAGGGATCTTATAAAAAGATTATAAGCTGATAGCGGTTTTCTATACATCTTTATCAACATCATAATTCCATTTATGTACCGTAGGTCTTTATTTATTTATTCTAATTTTCTTCCTACTTTTATTTAAGTATTTTAGTTATTATAAAAATTGAGTGAGGAATATTAATGAGCCTCTTTCATTCTACAAAAGAATCTCTGACAAACTTAGGTGTCATAACTATAGTAAAAGGTGGAAAATATATTTCTCAGCGACAAAAAGGTTGTTTATTTCAATAATCTTTGATAAGCTTCGGTACGAATACACCAAACCTACACATCGGAGCGTGATGCAGCATATTATAAGTACAGAATGGCATAGACAAACTCATAAATCAGGGCAGACTCCCGTTTCCGGCGGGCGGTATACTCTGCAACCGGATGTTGCGTACCTGCGACTTCCGGTCCATTCAGTGCGGAAACACGGTTATTGGGCCTTTTGTGGTCTACATTGGGGTCCATGAGAAATAAACAGCACCCAAGTATAAATGCCTCCGTATTAACATTGGTCAATGTTAATATTGTAAAAGAAAAAAATCGGCCGTCGGTTCGGTGTCGCCATCTCTGAGGGTGCGAGTCCCAAAATAAAGAAATATGACCTTTTCATATTTTCACAGGTTTTGGTTTCAAAAATTAAATTCCCTTACACAAGAGAATCAATCTAAGTCAAATTCGAGAGAGTTTGATATCATATTGAATTTTCTTAATTCATTTTCTACATAATAATCGTCATATCCAGGATTGGGCAGTTCATATTAAAGCTCCTGGTTTTATATATTCAGTTTGATATAATTAATTAATAAAATTATTACAAACGTGTGTCACCTAAACCATCTGACATGACTCTAACCGAGCATTGCAGACAAAACAATGATTTGTTTTATTTGCTTGTTTGCTCAATAGGATCAATAAAAAACACGCCCTAGTTTCTGAAGAAGTGCCAAGTAAGGTGCCACCTCAAATTAATTTTATATGTGTCTGTTTAATATCGACATATTTTTTTTATAAGAGAAAAAGCAACATAATTAAGTGCATTGAGTAATACAGCGCAATGTTCTTCTTTATAATTAAACTCATTCCAACAAATGACTTTAATAAAACATCATTTGAGTGGAAAAAAAAACTATCTCCGGTTCACATAATAAAAGATCGCTGCGGTTGATATCGCGGAGACAGTAGATCTCTACACAATTTCTTAAAAGTAAACAAGGCTTTGTAAGAAACTTTATATCGAAATTAAAACAGTGTAACTCACGATTCATACCATGCGATTGACAGCTTTATTTTATTTGGTTTAGATATCCGTTTTAAAAGTTGCAGGTCGACATGCAACTGCAGAGAAATTTCAACCCAATTTCAATGAATAATACAGTTTTTATTTAAAAAGATATCAATCTTCACAATAATAACAATGGCCGTACAAAAATTTACGCGCACGAATGTGATTGTATTTATTTTTGTAAAAAACTACTTTTGTGAAACTTATCTCGATCTTCGGATACATTTTGAAAGTATTTTTTTATTTTGTTATTATGCGAATTTCACGACACGAATTTCTTTGTAAAATCTTTATATGAACAATCAAATGCATATCGTTTAATAAAACCGGGGTATTAACGTTATGCATAAAAATTTAAAGAAAACGAATTATGGCTTTGTTTATACAGTATTGGTTAGTAGAGTATTTTGATAGTAATAACTTTTCTATTTATTAAAAAATGGCAAATGTTAAGTCTGTCTGAAGTTTTAACAAATTACAAAATAATAAAACAATAATTCGCGAAGCGCACCTCTATTTGACATTAAGGTTTGAGCTACATTTGGTATGCCTATCGCCTCGAGGATTAAGCGATGTGCTATCACACGACCGTTATCTATCTCGCACTGGCAAAAGGCTGTTCCGAACAACAGATAAGGATAGGGCGATGTCAAAAAGCGATAGCATGCTTCCAAATGAAGTTCAATCTTTAAAAGACTTAATCTGTAATATAAAGTAAAAAAATAAGAAAAAATAATACAATAAAAGAACTCAACATACCCATTTGGCCCTCTGTCCCTACGTAGTCCGGAATGGTGGGGGGTATGAGCTCGGATCTCATTAAAAACTATTTAACGTAAGTACAGTCGTATACACGCAAAATCACTTCAACACTCACTCGCACTCATTTTTCTAAACAGCGCGCATCAACCTTTAAAGGAAAAAAATTAATCAAAATAAATATTATTTAAAATAACAACAAAATAATCACAAATCAGAGTGAAAGTGGTTTGTGTCCGTGGATTTAACACTATTTTTTCCCGACTAATCCTTTGTCTATGGCGTAAAGCCAGCCGCCTGACAATGAGATAGAAGATAGCGAAAAGCGTGGCAATATCAATTTTTAAGAAATTAAATTGATATAAACCTCCGCTTCATCATTACATATGTATGTCAAAATTAAAATACTGTCAAATAGTTTACAGTCGAGGAACTCGATGGCGCAACAGTTAGCGGGTTTGATCTGTGACGCAAAAGTTAAAGAATTTTCGTAATGGCCGTTTATAGGATGGGTAACCCATTAGAGAAGAGTTTGAATTCTTTCAATCTTCGGAAGCACGTTAAGCCGTTGGTAGTGGGTGCATTTGCGCTCGTTTACACCCATCAATCCACAGTGATCCACGTGGTTGGCCCATTGCGGATTTGTGGATGTCTTTATATCAACGCCATGGCCCATGTTTCCATTTCCATCATAGATATAAATATGATAGAAATGAGTTTATATTACAAGTTCGCGATCGTACCGGAGACCTCACAGATTAAGACTAAAGTGACTTAATACTAACAAAATCATACCAAGCGCCTTTACTGACCAATATCATCCTTTACTGTGTGGCATTCGTTCATCTTTAAACATTTAAAATATATGCCATTAAATGTAGTTAATAGCTAATAATAGAGCATATGGTTCACATCGAGACACATGTCAAAGGACCCGAACTCGAGACTTTGTTATTACTAAGTATCGCTTACATAAACAATGGGGACTATTAAGTGATTTGTGACAGAGTGTGTTTATTCAGAGTGGATCTATGCACAAAATAGAAATAGCGTTTATAATCTCTTAATAATAAATAGATAAATAACGGTTTCAAGATGATGCCATCTCCGAGGTCCGGGTTTGATTCCCGATGAAGAATATGAATTTTAATATATTATGTCGGGTCTGGGTGTTGTGGTACTTTCGTTGTTCCAGTTAATTTCCATAATACAAATGCGAGTAATATACATGATGTTATCTAATATTTCCTTATTAATTAGTGGTGAATCTAAAATAATGTTTTTCCCGCACTATGCCTGTAAATAAGATATATTTTTTCACAGACGACGTTATAACAAAAGCACTGTACTTGTGAGCGGAATTTATCTTAGAGAAAAAAATTCACCAGACATTCCGAACAACCACTTTTACTGAAACTTTCCTTTCAGTAAAATATAATTTTATAGCATTGTGATTGCTTTTGATGAAATATAATAATTGTGAGCGAAAGTTATGTTCATATTAATATTAAGTAAAGGTTAACGCTATTCACTCTTTCAAACTCAAGAAATTCTCACAAAGATTTATCCGTTTTGGTCAGTTTCTCACACTAACCGCCGTGAATATAATCCATATGGAAGTTCGGTTCGAAAATAAAAATCAGTAGCCCCGAAAAAGAAACAAAATGGAACGGTAATAAGGTAACTGGCCGGCAAAAACAATAAGAAGCCATCGGCCGGGAGTTCACCGTTCGAGAATAGAACGCGTTCTAAATTTAAACAGGGCAGTTAGTGAAACGCCGCGGGAACCCGCGTTCTAAATTCAAAATTATTTTTAAATTTCCAGTCTCACCGTTTTGTCACGTTCAAGGTCGCAGTTGAGGATATCTCAGTCGACGCTCGAAATCCAAAAACAGTTTATTTTTTCTTTTTTTTTTTAATGAGGGAAGTAACATCTGGCAGTGATTATTATTATTACAGCCACAAATACCATAGTGGCGTTTGGTAACAATAAAATTAGATACCGTTTGTGTTTTAATGGCTGCGTAAAAGCGTCTTAAATGAAAATTTAGTATCTACGCAGTACACTTTGAACATGTTAACAGACAAACTAACCTTGCAAGGCAATCAAGAACAGTGTGGGTGCTCTAATATTCTATTCATGGAAAACCTCTTAACTTATCATCAATTCTATTACGATTCACATAAAAGCAAAGAACACTGCACTAAAGTAATGAAATCATAATATTTTTCTTTTAGCTTTTACTTTATTATGAATAACTCCTATTTACATACATTTATGACGTACTGCATAAGGTAGTATGTCATAAATGTATGTAAATGTAACACTGCAAATGCGACATCTAGATTCGTAAACAGTTCCGCTTTTAAATATTTTATTTGAGAGACTAGTAGATAAACAAACAGTAAACTAAGATAAAGCAAGAAAACCTCGAGAGTACATTCCGTTTAAAAATATGGAGGCGGTTAACTAGTTCCCTTTAAAAGAAGACAGAAAATTACCTATTTGATTAGTTTCCATTCTAATTTTGGAAATGTCGACGAGGAGTACTAAATTAGACGTTAAAATATGCCCAAGTTGACAGGCGGACAAATTGATTCTTTTAGTAGACCCGTTACTTACTTAGTTAACAGAAAAGTAACACATTTATTGCCAGAAGAGAATTTTCAATCCAGTTCCCGATTAAGTAATAATGACCGAAAATTGATTAAATGGAGCTCCTCCGTGCTTCAGAAGGCATGTTGAGACATTAGTCGCGGCTGCATCTGTAGTCGCCGACACTGAACATATTACTATTACATAGAATCTGATTATATAGAATCGAAAGAGAATATTATATAAAATACTATTATATAGAATCGGATGGTGAGGACATGAATAGACTTATAATGATGACTCTATGACAGAGTTCACCATCATCATCACCAGCCCTTTTACGTCCCCACTGCAGGGGCTCAGGCCTTCCTTATGGATGGTTAAGGAGGATGGGCCATGACCCTCCACGCTGGCCCAATGCGGATTGGAGGGTATTAACGACTGCAAATGCAGCCGGGACCAACGGCTTAACGTGCCTTCCGAAGCACGGAGTAGCTCGAGATAATAATTTTTTGGTCACCCATCCCGTGACCGACCCTTGCGAAAGTTGCTTAACGACAACGATCGCGGGCCGCGGCGCTTATTCACTACGCCACCGAACTACTCGCTATGACAGAGTTGCATAGTTTAATTTGATAAATATCATATATGCCGGTTCCTTGCACTCTTTTGCTTCCTCGGCATTCATAATTCTTTACATACTCTCATATGCACGCTCGTTGTCGTTCGATCTACTACTTAATTTTGAGTACATAAATATACAGAAGTTGATTATTTTTTACGATAAGTATCACCTTGCTTTTAATATCCCCACAGGTGGGACATCACCCATTACGCGATCTGGATTGGTGGGTGTTAAAGACGCAGGTGCAGCCGAGACCAACGAACCGAGCCTTCCAAAGCATGCAAAGATTACGGATATTGCCTTTTATGCATGATGCTGATGTTACATGCGTTAATATTTTATTGAATCGTGCACCAACTTCGAACATGTTACGTTTATTCTGTTGTTATTTCCCACACAACTAATTCCAGTCAGCGGGTGACTTTCTTTTTGTGAATGTACACACATCTACAAACTTTAGAAATAAGAAGTTAACACAGGGATCAACTGCTTTTGCACAAAATATTGAGTAACTATATCGATTCCTCTTTTCTCTTAAGTCGTAATATCATTTAAATATCCTGAATCAAGTACTAATGCACCGATGCAATTTTCTGAATTCCTGTATACAAAACTAATAACTCTAAAAATATGTGGTAAGAACTTGCAGCAAACATAATTATGGTTTCCTGCAAATTGATATGTTTAATTGTAAACTCTCTGGTTTTCAATCATCTGTTGGAAAAATATATAATGTAAATTCGAAGATATAAAAGAAAAAGGGTCCATGAGCAGCTTTTATAATCAGCAATATTTTTGTCGATAAAATTGCATATTCTTTTTAATTATACAAGTCATAGCAAAGCTGTTTATTGTTTTAAAATTCATGGCGTTTCGATTTTCATTGTATACCAGATATTTTTGTTTCTTGTTCCTATAATATTTTATGACGAAGAAAGAATTTATTATTATTTATTATGCGACCAAAAACCGTTAAAATAAATCATCTCTCCATACATCAAACATTACGTGAACAAATGACTACTAACCAGGTCATAAAAAAACATTGGAGCCCAACTTTAACACACAAATAGCTGAGACGATTGATGGGACACATAAAATCTTAGGGGACAACGGACACATGATGCGTTTTTTTTTTTAAGAAAAGCACGGTTGTTTACAAATAATAATAAATCACAGTGAACATGTTTTTTTTTCAATGTTATGTCAATAGTACTTTTACAAAAAAAAGAAACAATAAAACGACCGTCGTTTTTACATGTCTGTTTGTTTATAGTAGACAGAAACGACCTTTGTATGCCGGGTACTGCAACTTGAAAAACAAAAATTTCAGGCGCAATGTATCCAAGTATTTAGACAGCAGCATTACGTACGCATTAATAATATTAAGTACGTATAAATAATAATACTTCTAAGTAGCCAGCTGTAGATTTAAGAACTGGTGGCATATTATTACATTTCGACATACACAACTGCTTTAATAATCTAGATGGAATGAAAGATTTTATTAAAGAGATTGATTTTGAATAAACTCCTGTTTTAGCTCGAATTTGAAAGAACAATCCTCAGAAACGATAGCAGAAAGGCAGGCAGGAAGTTCAGGAAACATTTTAGGATTCCAAACCCAAAGGGTAAAAACGAGATACTATAACTAAGACTCCGCTCTCCGTTTGTATGTCACCAAACTGTATTTCTTGAACGTTAGAAAATCGTCGTAGATAATGTAAAAAATATCTATTTTATTTAAATTACTAAAAATATATTTATGAAGACTCCCATACGACAAAAGTGTTTTTTGTGTTTCATAGATAAAGGTATGGAAGCATTCGTGAGGGAGCCA